GCAGAACTCAGCAGGAAGCGCGGCGCGGTAGCGAGTGTCACTAGTGTGGAGGTTCGTAACTAGGTCAGCGAGAGTGGGAAGAGTAGCAGTGCAGGAAAGAGGTACGGTAGCATGAGGCGGCTCAGTGCAGCAGTGGCAGGGGAAGAGTAGCGCGCAACTACAGCGTCGTACAAGGTCAGAGCACTCTTGTACTGACTAAAGTGTGCGCGCTCAGTGGTAGGCAAGTGGCGACGCACAGCAAGACGTGCAGCAGCATCGCGGGTGGCCCACTGAGAGCGAACAGTGGGGTCAGCATCAGCAGTAGGGGCAGGAGAGGCGCCAGAGGTGAGGTGAAAGAGGGAAAGACCGTCCGCCCTAGCGCACTGTAAGAACAGCTGGAGGTCGTCTAACCAGACCTCAAAGTCGATGGCTCGACCCTTAGCGTCAAAAGCGAGGACACTAGGGGTAGCCATGACGACGACAGTGTAGCAGTGCAAGCAGTAGGGGAAGGGCACGCAGTAACAGTGGTGCTGTGCTCACCGGGCTGGGCAGGTCGGGCGGCTCGGCAGTAGTGCGGCCCGGCGGCTCGGCGGCTCGGCGGCTCGGCGGCTCGGCTGCTGGGCGGCTCAGCGGTAGGGCGGCTCGGCTCCCGGGCGGCTCGGCGGCAGGGCGGCTCGGCTCCCGGGCGGCTCGGCGGCAGGGCGGCTCGGCGGCAGGGCAGCTCGGCTCCCGGGCGGCTCGGCTGCTGGGCGGCTCGGCGGAAGGGCGGCTCGGCTCCCAGCGGTTATGGTGCTAGGCGGCTCCGGTGCAGGGCGGCGCGGTGGCGCTGGTTCAGGGCGGCGCGGCGGTCGTAGGCGGCGGGGCCGGTGAGGTAGGCGTCGGGGCCGCGAAGGTAGGCGGCGGGGCCGGTAAGGTAGGGCGGCGGGACCGCGAAGGTATCGGCGGGGCCGCGACCGTAGGCGGCGGGGCCGCGAAGTGGGGCGACGGGGCCGCGTAGGTGGGGGCGGCGGGGCCGCGACGTGAGGGCGGCGGGGCCGCGTAGGTGAGGGCGGCGGGGCCGCGTAGGCAAGGGCGGCGGGGCCGCGACGTGAGAACGGCGGGGCCTCGTAGATAAGGGCAGCGGGGCCGCGACGTGAGGGCGACGGGGCCGCGACGTGAGGGCGGCGTGGCCGCGACGTGAGGGCGACGGGGCCGCGACGTGAGGGCGGCGGGGCCGCGACGTAAGGGCGGCGGGGCCGTGTAGAGAAGGGCGGCGGGGCCGCGTAGGTAAGGGCGGCGGGGCCGCGAAGGTGAGGGCGGCGGGGCCGCGTAGGTGAGGGCGGCGGGGCCGCGACTTGAGGGCGGCTGGGCCGCGATGTGAGGGCGGCGGGGCCGCGTAGGTAAGGGCGGCGGGGCCGCGACGTGAGGGCGGCGGGGCCGCGACGTGAGGGCGGCGGGGCCGCATAGGTAAGGGCGGCGCAACGGGCCGCTAGGGGCGACACGGAGGGTCGCTAGAAAAAAAAGGAACGCGCGCCTCGGGGCGCGCTTCAGTGGGCCCTAGAAACAGTCCCTAGGAGGGGACCTGCTCTGATTCCATGTGAAAAGGAGAACGTGAATGAATGAACTATGAATGAAGTGAGTACATATAGGAACCCTAATTGGGTTGTACCCCCTATGGGATACCCCACTATAGCCTACACAACAGCATAAGCTATATAATGTTCTGACAGCCGCTGCTCCAGGGATGGCGGCGGCCGCTGCTCTAGGGGCGGCGGCCGCCGCCGCTGCTGCAGAGACGGCGGCGGCCGCTGCTGTATGGACGCCGGCGGCGGGTGCTGCTGCAAGGACGGCGGCGGCCGCTGCTGGAGGTGGCGACGGCGGGCCGCGAAGGGGCCGTAGGGGGGGGGGGGCGCAAGAGCGGCGCGAGGGGGCATAAGGGGCCGGAAGGGCAGCGCGAGGGGCCGACAAGCAGCGCGAGGGGCAGCAAGGGCGGCGCGCGGGGCCGACAGGCGGCGCGAGGGGCCGCAAGGGTGGCGCGCGGGGCCGACGGGCGGTGCGAGGGGCCGCAAGGGCGGCGCGAGGGGCCGCAAGGGCGGCGCGCGGGGCCGTAAGGGGGGCTCAAGGGGCCGTGAGAGGGGGCCGCTAAGGGTGGCGCGACGGTAGGGAGGGCACTCGGGGCGTAACTCGGGCAGGAGCGAAGCGCGCTACGGGCAGGAAAAAAAAAAAATCGAGGTGGACCCTAGAAAGCGTTCCCACTAGGGAACCTGCTCTGAAACCATGAGAAGAAAGGAGGAATGAAATGACTAAGGGAAAGTTGGGTACAAGTACAAACCCTAGAAAGCTGTGCCCCATATGTGCTACCCCACTATAGCCTACAGCAGCTAAGTCATATAAATCTGACACGTTCGGGTGGCTCGAGGGGTTGTAGCAATCCAGCTGGTGGCTGAGAGATTAGCAAGTGTGGTAATGGGGAGAGATGGAGCAAGGAGCGTTCTATGCTCAGCTTAAGGCAACCAAGACGATAACCGTGCAAACGCTACCCATCAAGGAGGACTTGTTCATGCTATATACGGACTAGAGCAACTCGAAGGTGGGAGCAATACTATGCAAGGAGAGAGAAGGCAAGGAGAAAGTGATGGCCTTTGCCAATAGGAGCTGTAATCCAGCCGAGGCCAGCTACAGCTCCTACAAAGGGGAGGGCCAGCTACAGGTGTGGGCAATAACATTCTACTAATTGTACTTACAAAGAATGACAGAGCACCAGCCAGTGGCCATGCTAATTATCAACCAGGCCATGACGATGTGGCTATTGGAGTTCACCATAAATCATCAACGAGACAAATCAATGCAGCACGTGGATGGGTTGTAAAGGAACCTACTGCCAGCAAGGCCGACAGCATGTCTAGTAGCATTGACCAGGGAAATTGATGGAAAGGGAGCCAGGCGTGGGCAAGAGATAGGGGCAGATGAGGTGCGGGAGGATGAGGAAATACTTCGGTGGGTAAGAGGGAAGACGATAGAGGCAGAACCAATCACTGACAGGGCAAGGGCAAAAGGCGCACATTACACGTAGTATCAGGAGCAGCTGAAGAAGAGCACGAAAAGCGGGTGGATGGTGGTTCCTAGAAAAGCGGAAAGAGAGCGCATATAGCTAAGGTGCGCAGGCAGCTGGGGCATTTTGGAAGCTTAAGAATGACACAGCTGGTAGAAATGGGAGAAGAATGAGGAGAGCTGCGAGTTGTGTAGTAGGAATAAGGTGGAGCTACAGGGAGGGAGGGAGGAACTGCAGTCACAGCCAAGAAGGGGCCTGGGATTCAAGTGGTCCTTTGACCTGGGGGGGGGGAAATGGCACTGAGCCGCAGAGGAAAACGGTACATACCAATAATGATCTAGCAAATGTAAAAATGGGTAGAGGTGAGAGCGTTACCTGGTAAAAACTCGGCGCGCGTAGTAGAAGCTTTCGAGGAGCAGGTGCTCACAAGATGTGGGGCGTGTAGAGAAGTGCTGCAGGATCGGGGGACAGAGTTTTGGGGTGAGTTTGAGAAGCTGCTGGTAGAGACAGGAATCACACACCACAAAGCCTCAAAGTATCACCTATAGAGTGACGAGTTAACAGAGAGGTTTGTATAGACGGTGAAAAGAGGGCTGAGAGCCGATGGGGAGAGGTACAAGAGGGACTGGGATGCCAGGCTTCCGTCGGTAGTGGTGGGGTACAAACAGGTTGCATTGAGAGACGTGTCCCTATAATACCTACTCTTAGAAAGGGAACAAATGCTGCTAGTAGATGTGCCTAAGATTCTGATAGAGACAGTGACAGCAGGGAGCGAGGAGAAGTGGGAGGGAGGTCCTCAGCTACAATGTTCGTGATCTACGTAGAGCCCGCCATATCGAATTCTAGCTCTGCTGGGTCAGAGGGTCCAAAATCGAAACGTATCCAGTCGTGACAGACTACCTTCGCAGTAGATTTCTCTGCGATGTCAATGCACTTTTGTAAAAGCCTTCCTCGGGGAGAGGGGTAGCGTAAGGGATCATAATTTCCTTACCGTGCGTCACCTCACATACCGCGTATAACACTATTCCCACCATCACAACCAAACAGTGTCCCTTAACCACCTCGTGACATTCGCCTCAACTAATGTTCCTGCCACCACGACCGTCGCACCCAAACCACTTGGCTCGATTAGTATCTCCTGACACGACCCCACGCCTCGACAATTCTAGATCTCGACGCTAGCCCCGTAAGGCACTCCATTTGTCCCTCGTTACCGTTACCATATTGTTTTGCAATATAACAACTCCCTCATGCCTTTTCTCATTGTATAGATATGCTTCGATAGTGCAATCTTCGTTCGCTCAATCAAGTCCACTAATGGTAACAAAAAGATATGGTTGAGGAGGTTATTCTAAAAATTAAGTTTTGGGAGGTTGTTCTAAAGATAATGAAAATCCTTTAAGAGACGCGAATAAGGAACAGTGAGGTGAGGGGCACTTCATATTAGGAACATTCGGAACTCACTTCCCAACAACTTTTGGTTGGTGTGTGACGGCTCACCCTAGTTAGGAAAGCCACGAATGCAGCCCACTCGTAGAAGTACTAGTATCGGCTTGGCGCTTTTCGTGCGTCAGAGTCGGTGGGGCAGCGAACCACTTAGATAGGCCGAAAGTCAGTTGCGGGTGGGGCCCCGAGGAGACAAGGGTTGAGGAGGAGGCGAGGGCCAAATTAATTAGGGATTTTTGTGATGATTGGGGGGCCGGCTGCCGCGGGCTCAACGGCGACGACACGTGATCGTGAGCGCGTGCAGCGCGCGTGGGCATTGGCGTGGTGGCTCGCCGTCCTTGTCGCGCCCGTCGCGATGGTGAAGGCCGTGCCTCTCGAAGCCACTCAAGGCAAGTGTGTCTCTCGAAGCGACTGTCTCATTTTAATCAATTATGGAAATTCGCGTGGAAATTGCTCCGAGACCCCGCGGCGCGGCAAGCGGAAGAGCCGCATCAAGCATCAACATCATGCCTGGTTGCCACCGAAATGGCGTACCTTACGGCGTATGATCCGCTGGCTCGCTGCACCGCTGTCACCCCACACGCGCCACCCGTGCGGCGGCATGACCGCCTGGCAGGCCAAGGGACAGAGGGCGAAGGGCGAAGGGACACAGGCGAAGGACCCAGACCAAAGGCGAAGGACAGAGAGGAAGGGCGAAGGACAGAGAGGAAGGGCGAAGGACAGAGAAGAAGGGCGAAGGAGAGAGAGGAAGAAAGAAGGACAGAGAGCAAGGGCGAATGACAGAGAGCAAGGGCAAAGGGCGGAGAGGAAGGTCGAAGGACAGAGAGCAAGGGCGACAGAGAGCAAGGGCAAAGGATAGAGAGAAAAGGGCGTCGTACACAGAATAAGGGCGAGCAAAGGGCGAAGGACAGAGAGCAAGGGCAAAGGAAAGAGAGCAAGGGCGAACGACAGAGAGAAAGGCCAAAGGACAGAGAGCAAAGTGCGAAGTACAGAGAACGAGGGCGAGCAAAGGGCGAAAGGATAGAGAGCAAAGGGCGAAGGACAGAGAGCAAAAGGGTGAAGGACAGAGAGCAAGGGCGAAGCACAGAGAGCAAACGGCGAAGGACGGAGAGCAAAAGGGCGAAGGGGAGAGAACAAAGGGCGAAGGAAAGAGAGCAAGGGCGAAGGACAGAGAGCAAAGGACGAAGGGCATAGACCAAAGGGCGAAGGACATAGAGCAAAGGGCGAAGGACAGAGAGCAAGGGCGAGGGGCAGAGAGCAAGGTCGAGGGGCAGAGAGCAAGGTCGTGGGACCTGCTAGAGCACCAAGACAGGCACAAGGTGTGAGAAATGTTATGTATTTTTATTTTTTGCAGTAGTGCTGTGGGTGACCTCCCATCCCAGCACACGGTGTTGACATGTTTGTCGGCCAGAGCAGGCTCCATAAGTGCTTCTTCCCTGTGGGTGAGTTTTGCGACAAGCGTTGCAAAAGAGAGGCGAGATGGAGCGACATGGGCAAGGGCGACACAGGATGGCAATCACTGAGCGTGAGTCGTCTTCAGACCGATGCCAGCCATGGGGTTTGTTGTGGAGAGTTTCCAATCCCTCCAAGAGAGTCCCTCCCCATCCTGCCTCACCCCCCCCTTCGCCCTCCTGACCCCACCCGCTACCACTCATTGCAGTGCAATTCCTGCAGGAGTGCCAGGCAGCATGGGGGCAGAGCATCTCCGGGTGGAGTGGTGAGATTCCGGACTGCAGCAGTGCCACGGGCCTCACGTGCGATCCCTCCGGCATGATCGTGATCATGTAAGGCGATGAGAGAGGCGATGCGAGGGAGGCTATGGGAGTGAGAGGATGGGAGTGAGAGGATGGGAGCTTAGTTGGCAGTTTTACATTTTTTTTGGTCACGCAAAGGTGTAAGTTTACCTTTACCTTTCACTACTCGTAATTTAGATCGAAGTTGCTCGGGCACGGCAAAAGAAAAAAACAAAGGCTACCCCAAATATGCAGCCCCATCCGATCCGACCATCACGAGGCAGTAACATGGCAGTGTATGCACGAAGCATCTGTAAGGTGATGTAAGTTGTTAAAATGCTTAACACGGGAGAATCAAATGTTACGTACACGTAAACCCCCGTAAGCGTGAAGTGCCAAGCCAACTTAAGATGGGAGTGAGAGTATGGGAGTGAGAGGATGGTAGTGAGAGGTTGGGAGTGAGAGTATGGGAGTCAGAGGATGAGTCTGAGAGGCCATGATGTACTTATTGCCATTTTTGAGAACCCATGCTCAGTGCTCACCATTATTGACACGCCATCATTGGCACACCATCGTTCACACGCCTCATTGTCACACCACATTCACTCACCATCATTGTGACACCACCATTCACTCACCATCATCACACCACCATTCACTCACCATCATTGTCACACCACTCACCATGATTGTGACACCATTACTCACACACAAACACATCATCACCACACCATAAAACAGGCAACTCCGGAACTACAAGCTGGGAGGGCAGATTCCAAACTCCCTCAGCAGCCTTAAGAAGCTCATTTATCTGTACGTCCTCTCCTCAGTGCCGTGTTGCCCTGGGACTCAGGGCCTGAGGTTTTGCATCAGGGAAATGCAACTCCACCTTTCTTCCCACAGCACAGCTACGCCTCTTCCCAAAGCACAGGTTTCTTTTCACCACCCCTTCACCAGCCCACCCCTCCCTCCTCCCGCGTTTTTCCCTGTCTTTGCCCCCGTTTCCCATTTCTGGCCTCCCTCTAAGCCGTTAACATTTTTTTGCTCTCTCCCCCTATCTCTCTATTCCTAGCCCTCTTACCTCTTCTGATCCCCTGTACCTCACTGGCCAGTTGTCATCGGGCCTAATAAAAAGCTGTGGCCAGCTGTCTATCCATGTGGCTGGCTAAGTTGGCCTGACCAACTAACCGAGCCGAGGATTGGCTCGGAAAACCATCGAGCCTAGCCTCTGACTTTGCGTTGCAGCTCGCAGCGAGCCCGTCCTGAGTGCTTTTCTGGCATGTGGCGTGGCGTGCTTCGGCGAGTCTTGTAGCAGCTTAGTTGAGGAGACGAGAAGTAGGAATCTGAGTCGTGGTTGTCAATCCGGGGATAAAATGAGCTTCATATCTGGTTATTTCAGCTTTATGTCTGGTTCTTTTCAGTTTGTTTCGTATCATTACTTTCTGCTCCTTCGCCTCGCTAGGCCCATACTTCTCCACATCACCATATCCTTCCGAAACCTTGGTTAGCTCTAATTCCTTGAGAATCCACCTTTTTTCGCTTCCAGTAGTACGACTTGTCGAGAAGTAGTACTCGAGCAGAACCATTTCACAGGCAAGCCACTAGAGGCTTGTGGCCGGCCGCTTGTGGCAGGGTGGCTTGTGGCCGGCCAGGCCAACTCCCGGCTCACCGGAATGGCCCATTTGTGAGCCGGACAAAGGCAGCTGAGCTCGTGTTGCACAGACTTGGCTCAACTCGGGATAACGACAGCTGACTCCAGCTGGAGCCAAGCTGGCTCGGCTCGGACCCGTGCTCAGGCCTATACATGGGCAAACGAGTCGAGTTTTTCCTCGACTCGTTCGAGGGACTCGAAAAGCTCGAGTTTCGAGTTTGTTTTTTTGTAAAAAAAACTCGGTTGCTCGAGTCGAGTTTTGCTCGCGAGTTAAAAAAACTCGTGAAAAACTCGGCTACCAAGCAAGTTTTTTCAAAACTCGCAAGTTTTGGGGGCTCCTGAGCATTTTGCCACCAGATCCGCCCGCGCCTAGCATTCCGCCGCTAGATCCGCCCGCACCTAGCATTCCGCCGCCAGATCCGGCCGCCCCTAGCATTCCGCCGCCAGATCCGGCCGCACCTAGCATTCCGCCGCCAGATCCGCCCACACATAGCATTCTGCCCGCACATAGCATTCCGCCGCTAGATCCGCCCGCACCTAGCACTCCGCTGCCAGATCTGAACGCACATAGCATTCCGCCGCTAGATCTGCCCGCACCTAGCATTCCGCCGCCAGATCCGCCCACACATAGCATTCCGCCGCTAGATCCGCCCGCACCTAGCATTCCGCCGCCATATCTGCCCGCACATAGCATTCCGCCGCTAGATCCGCGCGGCATTTCCTTTCACTAAACTGGTTTCGTGGGGTGGTGGGTAAGGGGGGTGTTTAACGAGTCGAGTTTTACTTGACTCGGACGAGTTTTCTTTGAACTCGTCCGAGTGTTGAAAAAACTCGGTAATATGGTCGAGTTTCGAGTTTGCTTTGTGGCACAAAAAACTTGGCGAGTTTTCCTCGACTCGACTCGTGTGTGACAAAAAACTCGTCAAAACGAATCAAGTAAAACTCGACTCGTCTTTTGCCCATGTATACTCAGGCCCATGGCTAAGGCTCTGCTCGGGGATGGGCGGGCGATACGGGCCGGTCTGGTCGCAAAGGTGGGCAGGCCTCATGGTTTTTCTTCCTTGTGGTTTGCTCAACTGCTAGGCCCGCCCCCCTTTCTACCGTCATCGTGTCCTCACAGCGATCTCACAAGCAACCAGTTGCCAGGCAGCATCCCTGCCACCGTGACTGCGCTCAGCCTGCTGCAATACCTGTGAGTGTGATGCACACCGGACAACGCCCTGCCACGTGTTTTCTTTGTTCTGGTCCCCTCTCTCCCTGTCCGTGCACGCGCACGCATGCATGTCCGCATGCTCGTACGCACACAACCCCTGTTTCTCTGTCCGTGCAGGTGGCTCTTCAACAATACACTCACCGGCGCTATCCCGGCTGACATTGGCTCACTGACCAGTATGATCACCCTGTGAGGTTTCTTGCTGCTGCTGCTCTTTCAAGCATCACTCGTCCCTTCTCCACTCCTCTTACGTCCTCCACGTGTGCTTGTCTATTATTTTTTTTTGCACTGCACTCTACTCTGCCTGCCCTACTTGCCTTGGCTGCTCCCTTCCTTGCTCGCTCCCCTTATCACTTGTGTTCCTTTCCTCCCATCATTCCAACGTCCCCCAATGGAAAAAAGAGGTGGTCTATTCTACACTACCCATTTACACGCTAGCTTAAATGCGTCTCACACTCGTGGGGGGATGGGGCAGATGCTAGAAATACGCAGTGTCCGCTGATATGGACGTCTGGTAAGTGGGTGGGTGATAGGGGAAGGGAAAAATGTGTTACTGGGCCCGCTACTTCCGTTAAGAGTTACGGACGTTTACATGGGCAGGAAACATGACCCCCCTATCATGTAAGTCGAGTTCTTTTAGTGGACCAGTTGAGATTGGATGCGTAGAGGGAACGGGTCTGGAGAAGTTTGGGGGGAGTGAACGTGTTGGGAAAAGGGTTGGGGGTGCAGATGTCGGTTAAAAGAGCCGAGCTGACGGCATGTTGTGGCAAAATTAGTCTCCAGAACTCGGAAGGAAGCTGGGTTGTGAATGAAGGGAATGGAATATTAGAAACAAAGCTGGCGATCGTATCCTGCTCTTGTCATGTTGCGCAACCTCTTTGTTGTGTCAATTCAATACACCTTGCATTGACTTGTCATGAGGCGGCCTCCCTCAGCTATCTCTTCTCCAACATGCTTTCTGGCTCCGTGCCCTCCTCAATCACAAAGCTGACTGCACTGACGATTTTGTGAGACATTTACTCCACTGCAACGAGCTTGCTTATGGCTGGCTCGCCTAAGGGATACGTACGCCAACTAAGAAGCAATTTTCCTATTTTCCAAGCATGCCCTTCTGTCTTATGTGCTTCTGCCTGCCTCACGTGCTTCTGCCTTGTGCTCTTCCTTTGTGAACGAGTTATTGTTGTGTTGCCGAGGTGTAGCTTTTACGAGCCAGGTCCCACACATGCTTCTGCATTCTCCTGTAGATATCATGTTCACCACATCCTTGTGTGCTCTTGACAGAGGAATTGGCACGTTCGTCTGTCGTACAGCCAACGCTTCACTTTTATATTTAGTTGTGCAAATGCAGCACACCTCAGGCAAGGCGAGTATTACTTGCTACGCACGGATTATTCATGTGCAACGAGGCGAGCTTCTCCGCGGCTCGTACGGTGGACTCGTTCAACGACGAGTGATGGTTTTGAGTTCTGGCGAGAAAAACATGTCCGAGCCGAGCCGAGTATTGCTCGGCGAGTTAAAAGAACTCGCCGAGCACTCGTCAGTTCGACGAGCTTTTAAAAAAACTCGCCGAGCAGAGGAAAAAAAACATCGTCGCGATTTAGCGATGGCATCTTGGTATAGCAGACGAACTAGTTGTGGGACATTCATGAAATCCAGTTGATCGAGATCTAAAACTTGTAAATCTAACATTGACGCTCACAATTCCAGATCTCAAGTTGGTTGGGTTTTCTAGATTCAGTGTGGTGAAGATCGGTAATGGGAGGGGGGTTGGAAGCAAAATGGTTCACAAATCTGTGGGCTGCGGGGTACGAATTCTAATTTTGACCTAGCTTTTCTTTTCCCAATTTCTCCCACACCTCTCCCGAAGCTGTTTCTAGAAAGTTTGGCCTGCTCGTTGCAAAGCAGAGGCGCGCAACTCTTCAGCCCTAGCTTTTGATAGTTAGGAGTGGCTGCACTGCAATGCTACAAGCCGAGCTTTGCTCGCACTCGTTCGAGCATTTTTCAAAACTCGGCCGAGCTTTAAAAAAAGCTCGTCAAACATGACGAGTGGCGAGTTCTGTTCTTCGCGGAAAAGGCTCGTCCGAGCAAAACTCGGCTCATTGAAAAGCTCGCACGAGCTTGACCTGTGACGAGCCGAGTTTTGCTCGGCTCGTGCCAATGCCCATGTATAGCACGGATCACCGTCATTGTC